AACTGCAGCTCTTACTATATCTACAACTTCACTCCCCTAGGGGATTGTCCCGCCCGTTACTGCAGCATTGACTAATCCAGTTACAAATGCCCTTACTGTAAAACCTAGATATTGAGTGACAGCTGCATACTTTTACTTTGCTATTACCAACAGGCCCGGGTACCCGAAAAAAAGAGCAAATGGAACTAGAGAAGGAATTACTTTACCATGACTCATTCCTAAATTAGACAATATTATATTATGGGGTGCTGCCTCTAATGCTGGGCCTTCGCAGGCTTAGGTTGACCGGCGCTTACGGCTTACAAGTATTTCTGCACAGACTGTTTCATGTTGTAGAAATCATGGGAGATAAGGGGCACGAGGTTAACAATTTTTGGTCAAAATATATTTTTTACAGCTGGATTTTTTGTTTGTTTGTTCGATCTCGTTCGTTCTTCCGTTTTGAAAGGGGAGAGTGCAAGCTGCGTATGATTTTTTTTTTCCTATTAAACAATTAGATTATGAGCTCGAGATTTCTATCGCGTGATAGTTGACAACGGCGCAGCCCGAGTCAACTATCACGCGATAGAAATCGAGAGCGACTGATCTAATGTTTTAGTATAAATCTACTAGTCGTTCAAAACTTTCATCTAAATCCTTTTCACAGATACTTCGAAAACACAAAGAAGCGGCTCCCAGCGCACGCTGCTACGCTACTATCTATCAAAGAATAGAACGTGAGTAGCGTAGCCAATCAGAGAACGACATTCGCAATAGAATGCTAGTAGATTTATACTAATACCAATTGCATTCTTGTTATACAACTGTAGTACTATAGTACACGTGACTCGAGTGATGTCGCGCGGAATGAAGTGTATCATGTACAACACTTTACTAATAATACTAATTTAGAAGCATTCCAAGGATCGTTCAAAGTCAAGATTGATAAGTTTCAGCCTGAGTTGACTATACTAGACTCGAGTTGTTAACCAACCATGTAACCAAGAAACTACCAATAAGAAGATGTATCAAGCAATTAGGCTTGTTTTTGCATCAAACCGGACGAAATACCAGCTCCATTACAATGTCCCTGGAGAGTTTTCCACCTCTCTTCTTATCCATTGTAAGAAAAAAAAAAAATCGTTTGTAGCTGTTCTTTAATATTAGAACTGTAGTAAAAAAATATGCGTCCATTTCTAGATTTTTCCTGAACGATGGCCACTTCCAATTAAATCCTTTTCCTCAAACCAAGGGTCCAGTTGGAACATTTGTGGTATAAAAAGCATCGTTCAGACTGCTCTGGCATTTTTCTATTTCATTATTAATTCCCTAGATGCTAACTGGAAGGCAAAAGAACGTGAATTACGTTTTCGTACACCATAAAAGTAAGCGCACAAGCTGGAGTCACTCTGAAAAACAAAAAAATAAAAACAAAAAATAAGGACAGGCAGTTGCTTCTTTGATTGTTTATTGATTTCAAAATTTGGTTTCGAGTTGGCTTGTTTGTTGGTAATATC